CGTTCTTTGGTGTTTGGCGAATGGTATGTAACTCCATGTTTGGTCAATTAAAAGAATTTGAAGCTACGCAAATAAAATTTGGGAAAATAACAAATTGAAAATCTGATTATTTAGAGAAAACAATATTTACTCGATAACGATAATGAGTGATAATTTGTCTTTAAAATAATATTCAAAGTAAATATCAGTGGAACCAGAATGTTTAATTTTTAAGTTTAGATTATTATTTTAAATAGAAATTTTTGAAACAATGGTCTTCGGTATTTGGCGAATGATAAATTTTCAATTAATGGTGTGTAGCTCAGTTGGTCGATTAAAAAGATTTGAAGCAATGCAAGTGATTGGGAAAATGATGAATCGAAGAACTGATTGTTCGAGAAAATATTTGATATTTACTTGATAATTGGAAATTTATCTTTACAAATAATATTCAGGATAAATATCAATGAATCGAAAATACTCAAATGAAAAGAAAAGGAACTGATCAATGAAAATCAAAATAATAGGAGTGCCCATAAGTAATGTCGTTTTTTTCAAATTTAATAAACATTGTCATCTAGTGACAATAATTTAAATAAGATAAAATTTTGTACAGTATCGAAAAACGACATTACCTACGGGTATTCTTAATAATTTGTTAGTGTTATCACGGCAGAAATTTGTCTTACGTTAGCTTTTAATAGGACACGTTCCTCAAACATTCGGTCCGTTGACGAACAAAATTTGAGAACATCTGTTCAAGTTGCAAATGAGAATAGTCTCACTACTAACGACGAAGACAGTAAGGGAGTATTATGTTTTACAAATACTTGTTCCATTGATATATGTTCACGGAGCACATCTAAATTTCTTTGATCGTCATCAAAAAAATCGAGCAATATTCATTTCAACTTGTGCCTGTAGATAGCAGAATAATAAATGGTAAATACAAACATTGGACGTTGTATCTTAAGAAACCAATTGCTTCTATCAAAATCAAATAACGAATAAGGTAAATAATTTATTTCACGAGAGAGCAAATAAATCATCTAATTGGAATTTCGTTATTTTACAAATAAAAACTTTACAAAGTAATTGTCAGAAAACAATGTTATTTGTTTTTCAAAACAGCCAGCTCTGTTTCACCGGCTACTCGCTCTCTCGCGCTCTCTTAACGAGCACCGATCACGACGGATTACTCTCGCTGTCTACTCCTCGTAATTATTCCACTTTTCGGTTTTCCATCCTTCGTCCTTTCCGCTTCCACTTCCCAGCCCGATGTTAAACGCCGGCTTCGTTAACGCCGCCTCCCCATTACCGCGACAATTCCGCTGAAAATGCTTATTTCATACAGACGCGCCAGTTTCAGGCAGGTCTCCAACACCACGCTCGATCGTCCGCCCTTTTGATTTCGCTCCGACCGAAAGCGAATCTTCATGGGGGGACTCGCTTTCGAGATTCCTCCTCGCTGGGAATTCGTCGAGCCACCCCATTATCCTCCAAAATTAGACGATCTTTCTGTAGACGAAACTCGCGAATCTTTTCGTTTTCAGCTCGAAACTCTGCTATCGACCATCTCGAAAGCATGATATGCTCCCATATCGTGGATTTTAGGGTTAACCGTTTGCCGAGTGTGACTCAACAACAGTTTTTATCACAGGAATTCTTATGCTGAGTCACACTCGATGTTTTTAAATTGCCAGAAAGAGAAATAATTGCAAAAATAGTTTGGAGTGCAAAGGGTTAACCTAATTTCGAGTTGTAACATCGTGGTAGGAATCATGGTTCCGACTTGAGAGAAAGAATGAAATTGTCGTCTCGCGGTATACGAATTCAAATTTTCAATTTTAATTCTTTCAAATTGACAGATTTAACTCTTTGCGCCGGCAACTGGTTCGCGGACCATAACGAGTGACCGAACCGTACACAATAATATCGTCGCTTTCTTCTTCGTTTGAACTCGTCGATATGACATCGCTGGATAGAAATTATTAAGAAGTAACAGACTTATCGTTTGTTTTGCCTGGGTTACATTTATATTATATTTGAAACTGAGAAAATGTTGCAATTTGGGACAAAAAATTCTCGACGTGCGTGGCACGTCGTTCGAGCGCAAGAGGTTAGTGTGCAAGATATGTTGTGCAAGGAAAAATCATGGGTTAAAATACTGTAAGTACTAATGTGTAAATACTAAATAGTAAATACTAGCAATTACTAATGTGTAAATATTAAATAGTAAGTAAACGTGTAAACACTAGATAATAATATCACGATTAACCTTTTGCGCCGGTAACTAGTTCGCGGACCATAACGAGTGACCAAACCGTACACAATAATATCGTCGCTTTCTTCTTCGTTTGAACTCGTCGATATGACATCGCTGGATAGAAATTATTAAGAAGTAACAGACTTATCGTTTGTTTTGCCTGGGTTACATTTATATTATATTTGAAACTGAGAAAATATTGCAATTTGGGACAAAAAATTCTCGACGTGCGTGGCACGTCGTTCGAGCGCAAGAGGTTAGTGTGCAAGATATGTTGTGCAAGGAAAAATCATGGGTTAAAATACTGTAAGTACTAATGTGTAAATACTAAATAGTAAATACTAGCAATTACTAATGTGTAAATATTAAATAGTAAGTAAACGTGTAAACACTAGATAATAATATCACGATTAACCCTTTGCGCCGGCAACTGGTTCGCGGACCATAACGAGTGACCGAACCGTACACAATAATATCGTCGCTTTCTTCTTCTTTTGAACTCGTCGATATGACATCGCTGGATAGAAATTATTAAGAAGACTTTAATTATTATTTTTAACAGACTTATCATTTGTTTTGCTTTTCGTAATAGATATAAATTATCCGACACGGTGCAATAACTGATGTTTACCGAGGACTAAGGGAAGAAGATTAAAGGCAGGACTCGCAGTGGAGCGACGACGATTAACGAATCTACGAAAAGAATACTTCAGTGACAGAGAGAAAGAGCGAAATTGTTGCCGCGACACGATGATCGTATATTTTGCACAGTCGAAAACTTCAAATATTTCCCGACGAAACTGTTTGACGCTTGGACGAGACTGTACGCACCTATGCTCGCTCGAGTAGGTATGCACAAGCGATTACGTAAGTAATCTCGGCGATGTGTATTTTGCTTTTTAACGCAGCTCGAGTTATCTCTTTGCGTTTAGGATCGAAAGATAGTGCGCGCGAATTTCCTACGTTCACCAGTCAAAAATAACGGATTGTCGTCGAATGATTGGCATTTCTATTGCCAGTTTTTATTTTTGAAACTTTTCATTCGAATCAACTCACTTTAAACTCATGCAAAAATGATCCCTGTCACATGAACAAACGAAAGATCAAGATCATCATTGATTTCTACTGTTTCTTAAGAAATTCTTTATTTCCTACGTGTATATGTCTATTGTCCTAACTGTGTTTCTGACCTAACTTCCTAAACTGCGCAAATACAAGGGGAAAAAACACATAACAAAAAGAAAAAGATGTTTGTAAAGGAACGTCCTGTAATATTGTATATGAATGAATTATATATTGTGTATTTTGACGTCAGATACTACTATGAACGATGGGTAATTAAGAGTACTAGAATACACATAACTAAAGACATTAAAGACAAATAAACACACAGTTGACCTTCCATTTGCTTTGCTGGAAAATGCGTAGCTAACTTATTTCACAGATAAATATTTGCTTGTAACTCCGTAACAAGGCGTTTCCTGACAAGCTTTACATAACATTTTTCTCTTTTTCTCACGTGTAGATTAAACCTTTGCAGTTTGATTCAAGTTTGAGACATCATGAATATATATATATATATATACATATTTTAACTAGTATTTCATTTTAAAGCGTAAATTCATTGCATAACCTGACAGCTAACTGTTCAAGCTCGTTTCAGAGAAAGAAAAAATGCACGAGCTCGTTAACAATTTCAAAATGGAACATTTCCCGTTATACTTTCAAAAGCGGAAAAAAGTGCTGTACAAGCTCGTACAAAATCATCCAATATCCATGGTAAAGAAACTCTACAGCCATGAGGCAATATCAAATAAAATTTTCTTAGAACTGTCTTTCTGTCCTTGACCTTGAAAAATGGCCAAAAGATCGTCGAACAAAATACAGTATAGTATAGCATAGTCCAACCGAATGTTATTGTTTCTCGCGGAAAATTCGCCTTTCATTTGCGCGGAGAAAAACCTCAAATGCCTGAAGCAACGAGAGAGAACACGTCATGGACAGAATGGAGGTAATATGCCCGCGTGATTAGAAGAAAAAACGGGTGACCATGGGAATGCAAGTTAATCGGATTGTTCGCAGGAAGGCGCCCCGGCGTGACGCAACCTACGTGCATATCACGAGCGCGAACGTACGTTAGAACCGTGATTCCACGCTTGCTATTACGTTCACCGATTTGTGTGCAATAAATTAATACACAACGATTCCAAATATACGGACACGCATACCGTGGCATATCGTGCGAATAAATGCATGCATGTGTATATCGAATTTGCACGTATGCACGGCCGTGCGCGCCTGTGAAGGTGATCGTGGCCCAGTGGTGCTCATCGGGTATAATAATCATCGACAATCGTTCAAATTTCACGATTTGACGACCGTGGAAATGGCGCGCGAATCGGATTTTCGTGTTAAATAAATAATCGAATTTTAGCAGAATACTTATAAATTAGAGTAATTAGAATACTTAAATTAGAGTAGAACACTCATAGATCCTTCCAAGTACTTGGAGTTGAGGCAATTTTTCGTCTCGTAGGTGGAAATATCGACGGTTATCCAGCGAGAAAGGGCGCGCGTGACATCGGTTTCCAAACGAAAGGAACATCGTTACCAATTACAGTCGACGCATTTTTGTTGCGTGCGCATTCCGTGATTCGAAGCTTCCGCCCTCTGACAACGGGGGGGAGTTGCGGCACGGGCAAACTTTCCAGAGTTGAAAAAGAGTCGTGCGTGTAACCTCGGTGAGTACCACTGTCGCAGAGCGATCATGCGCGCTCTTCCAGCTCCTCGACAGCCTGCTCCCGCGGCCTGCGCCGCTCACCTAGCCTTCTGTTCGTTGCGTAACGCTGCAGAGTCATGCGATAGGATAGCACCGTCGCCGTGGCGCGATCGACGAACACGTACGAACACGAACGAACGAACGAACGAACGAGGAGGAAACCGAACCGAGCGAGACGGGAATAGAAAGAAAGAAAAAGAAGAACAAAGAGAGCGAGAGAGAACCAGGGCCGGGAGGTGGTGTGGGAGGGGGGTGATGTCTTTTTTGGAGGGGGACGAAGAGAGCGTGGAGAGCTTAGAGCGTAGAGAAGAGGCGGTTCAGCCTTGAAACGCGCCGCGAGCGGCTTCGTCGCGAGTTCCGTGCACGAACGTCGGCTCGCGGGATCGTGTCGAGTCCGTTCCTTTTTTTTTTCCAACCTTTTTTTTTTTCCCCACGTTGTTCGCGCCACTCGGTACCGTTACTACTCTCACCCGTCCTTATCACCGGATTCTTCTCCGATCGACACCTTCGACGGCAACGTGAATCGATTTTTTTAACTCGCCCCTCTTCCCCCCCCCTCCCCCCCTCTCCGTTTTAATTCGACTCGTTGGTTTTCGACGAGAAGAAGGAGAATCCGCGACGATCGAAAATTACCGACGTATCCGAAAGTAATTTATCAACGGTAATTTATTGTTGTCCAAACGGTAGTTTTATCTGGCTGGTGGTATCGGGGGATTAATAGCCGGCCGGTTAATTTATCGAGGAAACCATATATCGGCTGGATGCGTATATCCATCGATACGATGGAGGAAATGTTAGATATCGCTTGGATGGTTGGCGGCGGGAGGGGGTGGGGAGGCGGTAGGAGGGGGCTCTCTCTCCCTTTTCAAGTTCCCAACTCGGAAGATATTCGCAATATATACCTTTTCCCCGTAGAGCATCGGACGCCGAGATTCGCAGAAGCGGCGCGAATAGATAAAAATAGATAAAAGCGGCATCGCGCCGGCCGTGCTGGCTTTCTGGGAACGCTTTCGTCAATCAGGGTCACACCGAATGCACCACCGGTGGTGCCTCGTTACGTCTAAAAGCAGTTTCGTGTAACCACCGAGGAAACGGTGCTCTCGCGTTTAACGAGTCCGACGAGCCGATTCCTCGGGCTCATCCGAACTCGTTTATACGTAGATGACAATGCTTTGTCGGAGCATTTCGTATTCCTCCACGCAGCGGTATTACCGGTCTCTCTCTCTCTCTCTCTCTCTCTCTCTCTTCTCCTCTCGCGCATACTGATATTCACGAGCTCGATTATCCTCCGTAACGGTGAGGCATGAGAAGAAAAGACAGAGAGGATGATCGTGTCGCTGAAAATCGGTGAAAAGATAACGGAGCGCAAGCGTGAAAAAAGGAAAGAAAGAATAAGGGGAAACAGTGTGCCACTGCGCGATCAACGGTACCCGTGTACACTTTTCGCGATGTCGCGACCTCCTGCGGGAGCAAAAAGCGAAAACCAAGCGGTCTTTTTCAACAGCTTCGGTACAACAGTTCTCTTCCGCAAACGCACGCGACTTATTTCTCAATCTGCCGTTGCGAGAACCGAACGTTGAATACACCGTTTGTTAAGAGCGTGCTCTATATTCTTCATTCTGCTAGATAACAGAGACTTTGCACGATTTGCACGCGAGTGAAGATCGACAAACACGTACTTCTTGTTTCTTTATAAAAAGAAAAGTCGTACTTAAAAAGCAGAAGAAAACGTAACGAACACTCGTCGAATAAGACGAGAGTGTACAAGCGTAAAGGAGGTTAGGTCGGCGAAGTCTGGGAAACTGGAACACAGGGAAATTGAAGAAAACGCAGCCAGAGGGAAATAATGGGAGAGAGAGAGAGAAAGAAAAAAAAAAGAAGATTGAGAGCAGAGAGAGGGTGGAACAACGAACAAAGTGGAGCGAAACCGAGCGCGACGGAGACGGAAATCGCGGCGATCGAAGGGAATGAAGAAAGAAAGAGGGAAAAGGGGGAAACGCGGGCGTGGAGAAAAGGAAAGGAAACGAAGGGAAATAGAAAGAAACGCGTAGCACGAGGAGGGTAGTTGGTTTCGACTTTGTAGTAGGCCTCGATCGATGCTGTTACCATGGCTACAGGTGCAGTACCGCGGTGCTCTACTACTGATTATTTATGTCAAGGATCCCTCCCTGCTTCGAGGCTCGGCAACACAAACTCAAACGCTGGCGAATCACCCCAACGGCTGCGTTCGAATCTCCCTCTCGCGAAGATTTCCCACGATTTTCTCGCCAACCGAGACATTTGGACGTTGCGAACGTGTTATATACCCGATCTCGGCCCTGGAAACCTGGATTCGCTTGGTCAAACTGACCTAATTTCCAATTTTGTTGTCCAACGAAATTTCTTGCCGCCCCCCGTTGGACGAACGATGAAGTTTCAAGCGTGAAATTCGATCGTTCATTTCGGTCGCGATACGACGATTAGATCATCGAACATTTATTTACAATTATTTACAAAACTGATCGATAATATCTCGAAATCTATGTGAAAGGAAGTAAAGTCTCGCGAAATAGAATCGACACAGTACGACAAATTAATAAAAATCAATGGCTCGATTCAAGTGGTTCTTCAGAACCGTTTCTACCACTACAACCACTAAATTTGCAACTAAATTTTATACGGTTTCCGGGATTGATGCTCTCCAGTCATCAAGCAATTCGCTCCTTTCACGAAATCACACTTCGATTTTCAAACGTCTGAAATCGAATTTAATCGTATAGATAAATATTCGTATATTTATACGATTTTTTTTTTTTATCATACAGATAAATACGTACATACGTTGATAGGTTATGTTCATTCGGAAGAACTTGGAACACGTTAGAAAAAAAAGCGACAAAGACAAACGTGAATGAAGTTTCCGCGAGAACCGAGATGATAAAGTTATCGCGTTGGAGGGTCGTGAGTCGTCGGTAAATTTTTAAATGAATCATCGTGAATGCGTTGAAACGGCGATTAGTTGCCATTTAAACGATTGCTATTATTAGTGGCAGGTGGCGACTGAAGATGGAGCTTCGGTGCCGGTTTTAGAGCAAGCAGGACGGAAGAGAACACGCAGAGGGAAGTTACTCCTGTTGGGAAGGATGCTTTCGACCCAGTTTCACCCTTCCATGGTGGTAGTACCAGCACGAGCAATCGATAATACGTCTCAGAAGTACCGATATCGTGCTCTATCATTGTAAAAACTGTCGCTCTAGCGAAAACTACTGGCAATTACACGTGAATAAAATGACTTCGTCTTTCTCTCCCAACTTGTCCGTTTCTGTTTCTTCTTACCGTGATTAGTTCTCTCTCTTTTTCTTGTCAATACTATTCATTCATCACACTTCGTCATAACTTAGGGATCGAACGATTTGTAACTTTCTCGTGTTAACAAAAAAATAAGAGTAAAAAATTTGTTACTTTTATTTTGAATGCTATGCGCTATTTTTTTTTTTACATAAAAACAATTACTCGTTACATTACTTCTTAGGCAGAGGTGGCCCAAGGCGGTCACGTATTCGTCACGAATAATCATTAGGACAGGTATAACCAAAATAATCGCAATTTTACGAATCGTAGCATAGTATTACCTAGCAAATAAATCGCGACGTAAAAACATAAATCAGAAGACGGTTTGTTGAGAAGTCATTGACACTGGCAAATTTATTTCAAAGTTCTTCAGATGTTGAATTACCGTAAATCTACACAAATGTACTATTATCGTTTATAAAAGGTCAAGGTTTGGTATCTGAATTCATTCTAATGTCAACGATACTTTTTATACGGCATACTTGTTGCTCTTCCGATTGCACTCGGAATAAAAATTAAGAAACATTGAACTCCGATATAAATTGTGCGTAACAGGAACAATTATTCATTATGGAGACTGTGCAATGTTGATAATACACACAGCAGGTGGACGAGATCATACGTACATCGAATTCAACTGAACGTTGCCTGTTTGTCGAAAATCACTTGTTTAAATTTCTCTCTCAAGTAGAACTCGTTGAAAATTATAAACCGCATTGAATGATTACTTTGAATAAATATAAGAAATTCAAGCAAGTTATTCGTTCAAGCATTACCTGTATTTTTCTATGCGAAACTAATATCAAAGGATCGAGTAAAAATTTCACAAAAGAAATCGATCTTACGAATCGCATATCCATCCAACATTCTCACAACATCCACATTCTTTCAAATTATATTTTTTAATTATTTCTTTTTTTTTCTTTTTTCTCTCTTTTTTTTTATTCTATAGACGTACATCGGAATTTACTACAGTCGACGTTTTTCACTACCTCACACATTTCTTCAATCTTAAACGTACACGTTATCGTAACTAAAGCAATAACAATTTTAATATTTACATGTCTATCTCATTAATTAATTATATATATAATACAACTTGCAACTCTGCTACCAGCAATTTCTAGCAATAACATCTTGGTGCAAATAATCCGACTCTTCTCTCTCTGTATTTCAATCTTCATTTACGTGCCGATCCGAACGACAATATCGTTATAAATTCGGAAAATATGACCATAAGAACATCCTTCCAGCATTTATTCGTTATTATGTAATGAGTCACGCGTCAGAGACTTTGAGAATCAAAGAAACTTTCGAATAAAAGTATCAATGACAGCTGCGTATTTCATATTAATAATACAAACCTTCGTCAACATACATACTATGTCTGTGTCATTGTACTTTATACAATGAAGAAGCCAATCTTGTACACAATCCCATTCCAATTCAGGTAATATACACATATTACCAAAAAGATAAACAAAAAATATAGACATCTGACTTTACGAGAATCATAATATATTATATGTATAAATAAGGTGAAAGATGTGGTTGTATAACGTAGAAAATGAATGTAATTATTTCTTGTGACTCGTACGACGGTATAACAATCCACAATTTTCTTTGTTGCGACATCAAATATGTAATTGAACGTATATGTATGATAATTATCCTGTTACCCGAGCTTGACGACGTATCATAGAAAACGGTGAATACCAAAACATATGGAATTTGTATGAAAATCCTATTTTCATGAAATAGATTACCGATTATCTGTTTTAAATGTTACGTTTTTATATAAAAAGAAAAAAGAAAGAAAGAATGAAAGAGAAGCCAGATGTGGAATTAAAGCTGTATAAATAAAAATATTTAGAAATAGAGTTATGTTTAAGATGTAACTGTTAGTAATTTTTCCCTTTCGGTTTTATCTACTGCTGACACATGATCAGGCTTTTCGCCTCGCGCGTAACGTTCCCACATTTTTTTGTACAGCATTTCCATGCCCGCTGCGTATAACTTGCAATTGAATAATGGACTTTCCGATCTTGCTTTCCACACTTTGGCTCGCGTAGCTTTCAAGCTTAAAAAGAAACAGTTGGTTAACTCATGTCGAATATGAAGCTGTAGGGATAGGAAAAAAAAATAATTTACTTACTATTCTCTGTCAGTGCCTAAACGAATAGCAATGTCCTGATATTCCTGACGTGTTCGTGCAATCAAATCAGGACAGCCCAAAGTATTCAACTGACTAGCAGCAACACGAGATGCCAGCGTTTCACCTGGTAGTGTAACTACTGGAGTTCCAGTCCACAAAACATCCATGCTAGTAGTGTGACCATTACAAAGCGGTGTGTCCAAGCATACGTCAGCCAACTGTCCCCTTCGAACGTGTTCTTCTTTTGCAGCAACATTGCTGAACAAGATCCTACCGGGAGCTAAACCTAATTGTTGGGCTGTCGCTTGTAGGTTTGGCTCACCAACGGCCGGGAAGCGTAGTAACCATAATACAGAGTTTGGCACGTGTTTTAGAATCTGAAAATTGGTGTCGGCGTCCATGTACAAAATACGCAATAATTTTGGCAATGTAAATTTGTCACGAAAATATGAATAAACTTACATGTGCCCACATGTGAAGTGTGAGCGGATCGATCTTGTACAATTGATTAAAATTACAGTAGACAACTGCGTCCTCTGGCAGACCATACTGTTGTCTCGTTGTAATCATGATATTTTGAGGCACTTCTTCACCCGTAGCTGTTTTGTTATTCACTTGCGTGGTGGCCATGCCGTTTTGAACTACAACGCCGTTCACAGACATTTGGCATTGTCCAGAAGCAATCATTGTCTCGATAGGAGTAGTGGTTGGCAGTTCCGCAACTTTCAAGGAAATTTCTACTGGCTTATTTTTGGCATCCGGTACGACAACTTCGCGGATTTCTTTGACGCACGTATTTTCAATCATGGGAGAGAGATCGGTGGCATTTATCACAGCTACATTATCTGCTACTTTGCCTTTCATATTCAACTTGTCCGTCAAAATAAGACGTTCCTTTAAATGCGGGAACATTTGCCTTCAAAAATAAATATGTTTTAGAAAAAAAAAAACAAAAACATACAATACCGATAAATTTCACATATAGTACCATAATCGTATATAATCTCGCAGACTTACTTGTGATCTCCAATGAAGTACGTGTGTGGCATGTAAGCAAGCTTCTCGCTGTATTGACTAGCAAGTTCCACCGGTGATGTAACTTCGTCCGTAATTAAATAATCCATGAAACTAGCACCAGATGTTCCGGGATATCCAAGCCACATCACTTGAACCGGTGCCGGTCTCAGGGCGAATATTTCGTTTCTTGCTCCCTTTGTGTAGCCGTTCATGTTCACCAAAATGTGAATTCCATCCGCGTTAATACGATCAGCTGCTTTCCCGTTGCACGGAATCTGCGATAGATCGACGAAGTGTTCGGTTTCTCTAGCGATCTTTGCACGAAAAGTGGTTCCATCATCGGCACTGAGAGCGTAACAAAAGATTTCAACGTTTTGTCTGTCGTGCAACCCCGGAATCGACTGCATCAGATGGCTAGTAGGATGGTTCCCAAAATCGGACGAAACGTATCCAATCTTCAAGCGAGTGCCAATTTCACGTGGGTATTTGTACGGTTGTTTATGTAAAACGTGTATCTGTGTAACAATTTGTAAAACAGTTTTATGTAAAGTAGTTAGGTAAAAGGTAAAAAAAACCTAAAAGGTAAAAGTCTTATTTACCTTTTCGATGCAAAGATTCGCATGTCTAGCAGCAATGGCCTTTCTGAATTCGTGAGACAGCGGGTAGAGCATAGAGTGGTGCGGATGCACGCTTGGCAACCTGTTCTTATCCAATTGTTCGGCAACGATCGAGACTAATTTCTTCATTCGAGCCTCGTAATCGGTCCAGTCGCAAACGATCTGAAGGCAATGCGCCAAGTTACAATACGCGTCGGGAAAGTCGGGCTTCAGCTTCAGCGCAGTTTTGTACGATTGAATAGCCTCGGGAATGTTCCCGGAATCCTTGTGAATTGAAGCTAAATTGGAATGAGCATCGGCGAAAGCGGGATTAATTTGTATAGCTCTTGTGTAGCATTGAAGCGCCCCTTGTATATCTTGCATTTCTTTCAGCGTATTGCCCATGTTCGAGTACGCATCCGCGAAAGTTGGCTGAATGCGAATAGCCTCCTTGTAATGCATCAATGCTTCGTTTAATTTCCCTTGTTGCTGTAATACGGAAGCCAGGTTGCTATGAGCTGCAGCAAAATCAGGAAATACTTCAAGCGCTTTCAAATACAACCGAGTTGCTTCTTCGATGTACCCCTGTTCGCGTTTTATGTTGGCCTAGAATGAAAATACATTCGTCGTAGTGACAAAAAGAAGAAAGTTTATTCCCGCCAATAATTTGAACAGAAATATAAATACCAGATTATTAAGGGAATCGGCGTGCGAAGGGCAAAGGCGGAGAGCCGTATTATAGCAATCCTCAGCCTCAGCCACTTGCCCCTTTTCCTTGAGCGCGTTCGCCAAGTTACAGTAAGCATCTGGGAAATTCGGTTGTAGTTCGATAGCACGGCGATACGTGTCGATCGCCAAATCGATAAGCCTAGAAAAAAAGACAAAGAAACAGATTAACGCGCAATCAAAAAATAACGAAATATACTCTCCGACGGATACTTACCCTTGTTCGTAATAAACACACGCCAGATTTCCATGCACGACTGCATTGTTAGGGCTGAGATTCAAAGCACGCAGGTAAGCAGCTACGGATCTGTCGTAAACAAAAAAATTCGCACGTCGTTAAAATTCATTGCACAATCAGAGAAGTGAGCATTTAGGTCGTTCTCCGAACGAACGGACAGTGAATCACAATTCAATCATCGATTCCGAATTCGGACTCGCGTGAAAACGCACGTAGAATCGCGTGGAAAATGTTGCTCGTTGGTTTCGATTCGGTAGCAATGGCGATGTCACAGCCGACTCGCACGTACACGATGATCTTGAGTAAAATTCGCACACGTGTATCACCGCGCCGGTATAAAACGGAATAAAGGAAAACAAAAAAACAATGAGAAATTGACCTTTTCACGCTATATTTAATCCACGAGATACATCCACGGGCCGAGGATCGTGAGAGAGCTCGTTCTAACTGCACGCGTAACAAGGGCGCGATCGTGGTCGAGGGCGAGATCACCGTGTACACGACAACGCACTGGCAGTCCATTCCTTCTCCATTTCGATGCCTCGAATGAATGTGTTAGTGTGTGTGTGTGTGTGTGTTCTTTTTAAATAATTAATAAACAAAACTTGCCACTCCCTCGGACCGACACCGCGAGAGTCTCTCTCTCTCCACCGCGAACAACTTACGCGTTTTTGGCAAACCCGCGAACAACTTACACCCTCCCTTGAAGAGTAAAAGGGGTTCTTTCTCTCTCTCTCTCTCTCTCTCGCTCTCGCTCTCGCGCGCGCGTAGGGGCGGAGCGATCCTTGGAATCGATAGTTGCCCTCCAGTTTCTCCCGCTATTGTGCGTAACGTTCCGAGATTCCAGCGGTTCCGAATACGCGTAAATAAAAAGAAAAAAAAAAAAATTCAGCTCGCATTCGCGGAGGTAATTTCCTATCTGTTGCCAAGTCAGCCTCCATTACGTAGCTATGTGTATTGTTCAAGTAAATATTTCTGACAATTTTGAAATAAATATTTCTGATACTTCTCAAGTAAATATTTCTGATAATTCCCAAGTAAATATTTCTGACAATTTTCAAGTAAATATTTCTGACAATTTTCAAGTAAATATTTCTGATAATTTTCAAGTAAATATTTCTGATAATTCTCAAGTAAATATTTCTAATAATTTTCAAGTAAATGTTTCTGGCAATTTTCAAGTAAATATTTCTGACAATTTTGAAGTAAATATTTCTGATAATTCTCAAGTAAATATTTCTGATAATTCTCAAGTAAATATTTCTAATAATTTTCAAGTAAATGTTTCTGGCAATTTTCAAGTAAATATTTCTGACAATTTTGAAGTAAATATTTCTGATAATTCTCAAGTAAAAATTTCTGACAACTTTCAACTAAATATTTTTGATAATTTTCAAATAAATATTTAAGATAATTCTCAAGTAAATATTTCTGACAATTTTTAAGTAAATATTTTTTTCTTGTAGATTCTAAAAATCTTTTATGTTCCAGCAAATTCCAAGCCAATAAATAAGCATGTATTCGAAATAAATAGATTTTCAAATTTACGCATCCGAAATAATATTAGCAAAATAATTCGACATAGCGAGAGTTGCGAAGGACATCCAAGGAGAAATTCACGTACTGCGTTGTCAGCGGACATCGCTCTGGAGAAACAAAGGACGATGAACTTCAAAGGACGCTGTATGAATATCGATCTGGTGTTTACACGTCGGCTCATGCGCTTTGCTTGCGATTCCTCGGTAAACGTGTTTTGCAAACGCGAAAATACTTTCGACTTTGAAAGACAAAAAAAGTAGAGCACATTTCTCATTATTACACGAAAATGTAACGTAATAACACGGTAGGGTACTTTCAAAAATATACGTGTATTTTTGTCTGACTCTTTGACTCCAATTAATGTGACTGTAAACTGAGCATTAAATGAATAACTTAGAGCCAATTTTTTTTAGCACAAGCTTTATAAACCGACGTCCATGGGAAATTCGAGACGACGATCGATCAAACTGTGCACTTTGTTCCAGAAAATGAGGAGAAAAAATGACATGTATTTTTATTATTTTAATTGAGAATCGAACTCGCGTCCCTCTGGTTAGGAAGTTAAAACCATATATCTATTGCCAAAGAGACTTCTCAAGCTACTTGTTACTAGTGCTCATACATGGAAACTCCATGATATTGTATTATAAAATTTCGTATAACAATAATAATATGAATAAATTTTCATTTTTTACTACTATAAGAATTAAAAAAAAAAAAAAATGTGTACAAATAGAGCTTGTCTGAACAGACTATACTAAACATATCATGTGATATTTATTTTCTTGATAACTATTTATTTTCTACACATAACTAGCAATAATTCGAATAAACACGAACAAATATTTTCAATCAGAAACGTTTCAACAGCAATGTTTTGAAAATGCTGTATCTAATATTGGAAATCAACGTCACTACAAAGCAACAAAGCGACATTACATTATTCTATCGTTTGAACTGGCGTAGTAGCATCGCGTGTATACTTCCAAATTTGATATTTCTAGCACCAGACTGACAGAAACCACTAGTCCAATTATTTTCTTACCTATCGAAAATCCTAGCCTCCTTGAGCACGTTGCCAAGATTGATGTAAGCGTCCAAGAAATTTGGGTCCAAAGCCACGGCCTTCTCGAAGTGATGGATCGCCAGCCAGATCTCCCCCTGAGCGTTGAACACGCAGCCAAGATTGCTCCACGCGACCGCGAAATCTGGACGCGTTTCAATCGCCTTTAGATAGCAAGCCTAAAGACAAACAGGGGGTCAAACAGGTTGCTCGCGGTACTGTGAGAGACGCGCCGCGCGCTTTGCCCGGCCTCTCCTCGCCGCGCCGCAGGCTTTCACATACATTTCACTATTTTCGATAAACCTCAGAGAACAATAATATATCTTTTTTCATACACCTTCGTCCTCTCTGCCCTGCCTCGTTACCTCTCTCTTTCCTCGTTTCACGTCCCTTTTCTTTTCTATGAATTCCCACCACATAGATAAAGTACCTTTTAGCAGAGATGCAAATAAATGCTTTCAGGAATCAATTACTTGTTACCACATGTTACTCGTTTATTGCTGCTTCGTTACGCGATCAAAATTTATCAATACTCGGAGAAATGTTCCATGTACACATTTCTGTTACATTTCGGTGCAAATGAAACGCGTAAGTTAATGCCAATTTGACAAGCGATCAATCACTGTGAAAGCTAATTAAATGCGATCTTCTTAAAGAGGCTTTTGCTCCTGCAAGGTTTGTACTTTATACACTCGAATTCTCCCCTCGCGTTCCAGGGCGGACGGGAACGAATCAGAAACAGAGAGAACGAAATCCATTTTGCAAGTCATACAGTATGTAACAGTGGATCGGAGTCTAGTATGAAAACAGGGAAAGAAGGATTTAGGTGCGCGCTAGAAACGTCATCTCGTAGAAAACACAAGCGATACGGGCGTCCCGCCTCGTGTCCATCGATTCTCCGGAATGCGTCCGGTGGACTCGATCGGCACGCAGCACGCCCCTCGCCGTCAGTTAGTTTCAGTTTCTGCTCAATTCACCTCCAACATTGTCCGTTCTCAGTCGACGAGCTTAAACAAACATTGGTTTTTCATTATTCACATGTGTCTCTCTGTTCAACGTTAGACCATCGTGTCTCGATTGAATTTGTATTATCGTTAATATCCTAATGCAGTAAAGAAAACAAAATTATCCCAATATCTTCTATACATGACGACGCTCCTAAGGGTCAAAGCAGGGATAAATGCATCGCGCGTGCCGAGAGGCGGGCTGCATTGTTATAAGAAACAGAGTAAATCCGTACCTAAACAGTAAGTTTTAAAAGGGCATTTACAGTTGGCCGATCTCTATCGGGAACGGTAATGAGAGGCTGGATAAATTAACAGGCATCGTAGCGTCGGGATAACTGTGGATAACGGATAGAAACGAAGTTGGATGAAGCTTCAACTGAGAATTCCCTTGTTTCAACGTGCAACGAAGAGAAAATCGATTCGGTTCATCTGCTGTGTGTTCGTGCACAAACATGCCTTTTCGGTCCTCGATTGAAACGATCCAACTTTCACTCCCTTTCGGAAACAACGGAGTCAATTGGCCTGTGACGGATTGTTCAGAGATCGGCCTTGGGAATTACTTTACCTGCAGTGTACCCTTTGGTAGGTTGACGGTAGGTACGGCTCGCAAGTTCTCATAATAAACTTAGACCGAGAGACAGTGTGTTACTGAATAACCAGATTCAGATTCACCCTTTGACGAAGGAACCCATGGTAACAGACCAATCACATTGCTCCGACTTCCCCTCCTAGAGTTGATCATCCCATCCACAACAACAAGACAGCTGCGTTAATGTCTCTTCACTGATACTGTTCGCCTCAACTTTGTCTTTTTTTTTCTAATTATCTTTTATGTTCTTTTTTTTATCTTTTCTTTTCTTTTCTTAAATACGTATATAGAAGTACCTAGTTATGCGTGCTGCTGAAAGACACGCTTCGCTGAGGTCGTCAGCCACCATATCACAATCGTGTAAGTCTTACACCCCCACCCCCAATTACCAATTGCATTGAAAATAAGTCCCCTGGTTAAAAAGGAAAAAATAAGATCAAATTAAAGCATAAAAAAAAACAAACGTGCTAATTTTGCGACCCCTGTAGCTAACGATACTTTAAAAAAAAAAAAAAAATTATAAATAACGCGAATCTATATTGCTCTTTAGAGAAGAAGATAAATTTGGAAAACCATTTCCCATCTATACTATTTTTTTTTTTTTTTTTTTTTTTTTTTGTGATCCCATCGATAACCAGTAGTTCCAGTCGATATCTTTCTGTGAATGCAACATTATTGGTGGCAAAACGTACTAAGCGAAAAACAAACGAGTGAACTAGAAAGCGCTCAAGAACGGCAGGAAATTCAACGGAAAGCCTTTCTCTTTGCTGCATTGAGTATCATCGGCGAGTTTGATTGCAAAAAGTATGAAACATCAAACAAAGATACCAATATGAAATTCAAACATGAATTGAGCAAAATTATCAACAATTTACATATACTGTCTGCAATCAGTTTCTACTCGTCGACTATTGCCGCGCCGCGCTGCTGTTATGAAGTAGACCACTTGACTCGTTTGCTTCACTACGTATCATTGAAACGAATGAAACTCTTAGGAGCCGAGAAAGTCCCACGAGTTTCCAACATAATTAAAAAAATATTTTGACACAGATTCGTCAAAAAGAGCTAAGAATTTTTCATAATAAACGATGAATATGGAACTAGTCAAGTGATCTCGCGCAATTGTCATCGTCATACACAATTTGTTTACTTTTAAAATTGGAAAGAGTAGTTGGAAAAGAAAGGTTGCATTTGTCCACGTATATGTAACGGATCAGAGTATACCTAAAGTAAATACACATTCAGAATGAGCTGAATCAAATGAGATGAGCTTAAACGCTACATTCGCGCGCTGCTGGTCCTATTGTAGCTCGTTGAAAAAGAAAAGAATCGACACTGTTTGCTTAATCAACGATAAACAAAAGACACTGCTATAATAGGACCGGCAAGTTAAACTTTGCAATAACACCAAATAAAGATATTTCGTTGTTGCTCTCATCAGTGTTATTCCAAAACGCGCAATGCCAAGAGGGATTTCATAGAGTTTTTAGCTAATTTCAAACTTAAACCCTCGTCCTGCGTTTGATGTCTTGTAAGAAACGTTATTCTGTTTTGGGCACCTTCATCGGTTCTCGATAAACAGACAAATAAAAAAGTAAAAAAACACCAAACGCAGTGATTACGTTAATTAAGAGGAAAACACGCACGATGGATAATCTACTATCAAAATCTGAATTTTCTTTCACAGTCACACGCAATTGCTTTCGATAGCAGGCCATCATGCGTCGCGCATACATTTCATCGCAAAGAGAAATAGCTTTTCGCCTCTAGTGGATACCAGTTGTTCCTGGCTATTCTGTAGAGCTGCTAACTAGCACTCGTGCACATTTTACGTAATGCATCCATATCTAGTCAAAAACAAAATTGATGAAACAACACAGCAATGCTCAACATCTTAGTATTTGACTGCGGTATTGATGCATTCAATCATGTGCGTGACACGTCAAATTAATTTACAGCAATGTATAACAGATAAAGAAAACTTACCTTGGCTTCGTCAAGTCTTGCTAATGCTTTCAAAAGATTACCAAGATCGCTTCTCACACAGTAAAGATCCTGTAACACACGAATGCACAAAATATATATATTCGATAATCTCAAACAACCATTCTTCAAGAATACTTTTCACAGCATGTAGCAGAATTTGCTCAGATAAATTAAACGTACGCAAGTGTGATAATTTACAAAGGGTTACAAAGAAATATTAATAACAGGATTGATTTCTCACAGGGTTATATTGTAGAGCAGTCACATATGCTTGAACCGCTTGTTCCATATCTCCAGCAGCTACCAATGCAGCTGCTAGATTGATGTAACCGTCAATGAAATCTGGTTTCAATCTAACGGCGTGCCGATAGTTTTCCAAAGCTTCCTGCAGTTGACCACGCTCCTTGAAAACATTCCCAAGGTTGCTGTAAGCCTCCGCCAACAAGGGATTCTGCTTTATCGCTAAACTACTATAATGAGCGGATCTGAAATGCAAGAATAATAATTGATCAACATTCTATTTTGTTCGAAAGTTACACAACGGGAGGAAGATGCTCACTTTTCTAGCCTTCTGCACTGGAAGTGGATAGAAGACAACAACAGAAGAACCCCTGTGTTATATGTTTCCTGTCGCCACAGTTGCATACAATGCCTTTCAGCGTTTTCGTAATCTCCTGCCTGATACTCCCTGTGAGCAAGTTCCAGTAACCCTGAAAAAAGTAAATTCAAACACGTTTCTTATAAAACTTGTCAGATTTTGGAAACTCGTGTGTAAATGAAACAAAGACATTCACTTCTTTTACTTTAACTCTCAAAAGAGTTTAAAGAATTTCAGGAACACCTATTAATTTAAACATTCTTATAATATGACAATACAATATACAATAATTTTGATTTTAACGAGCCTGTTTCAAAAATTTTAGGGAAGTTTATATAAAAACAATATGTCTACTGTAGAATAAAACATGTATATCGATTTTGTTAGCCGGCTCGTTGGAAACTCGAAATCGCATTCAGAAACGAAAATGAGGCGAAAAATACGAACAATAGGAGTCAACAGCAACGTTAATCGTCTGATTGTCGGCGATCGCAATTAGCTCTTTGCCCTGCGTGTCCTGCGTAACAACCAGAAGATTCTGTCCATTTTGCCACTCGACGGTTCCATTACAAACGTCATCCGAACTATTGACCACGTTCCCGATTCCACCGGCCGAACTTTTTATCACGTTCTCCTTCTTCTCTGCTAGTCTTATGCTCATTTTGTCAAATTTTCCCAAACGTTCTCTTCTGTTCGATATTACACGCCGCGCACCTCTGTTTTCACGATCACCTCTAATTAACTTCGAGACTCTTCTACGCTTCAGTGTCGGCAACTCGAGCTTTCTCTCTCACTTCGAAAAAATTCTTGCTGTTCGATTCCGAGCTCTCCAGAGTCATTTATTTCTTCCGCACTATCCGAGTTTACGCTCTTTTATTACTTCAAACCGTGCAAAGACAATTCGTAGCTTTCCGTTTCCATACAGAGTATGTCCTCTGTATTCCTTTCCTGTACAAGTTACGCTCTACCAGGTTATCCCCACCAGACCAGAAGGAGCAATCTGATTGGTCAATTGGCAACTATGGCAGACCTCTGCAACGCTGTGCCGGGCATCAAATGGGAACATGGAAGACACCCGGCTCAACGCCGCGAATATCACGTCTAGCACCCTGTGGCCTTTCGTTTTTCGTATTTTATATCTTCGGAGTTTGATAATTTTGCTTTCTTTGTTATTCTCAGTATAATTGACAGACGTTTGATCATAAACACCGTTGTCAAATTATTTTTAGAAATTCTGAACACAAATTGTCGAAACTAATAAATTCATTTTTCCGTTGCTTTGCTTATTCTACCTTTCAAACAATTTTTATATTAATTAATGAACGTATTGAATGTATGAAAATATAGATAAATGTAATGAAGTAATAACTGATATATTTACAGCTTATTAATAATAACGATATAAAATCTAATAAAAAGTAGCAAATTTCTGTTTTCAGCTAACGGAGTCATCCTTTTCTCGTCGGTGAATCTTTTAGTAAGAAATCCATTTTAAAGTTACAATAATTCTCACGAATACGTTGCAATGTAAGAAAATAATATAAAAAATTTCTATTATTTTAAGGTGCTCATTGTACATACAGATGCGATGGTACGCGCCTGGGAGCACACAAAGAAAACACAACAGCGGTTCTCAATTCGTATGAACAAAATTGATTGTTAAAATCATTTGATTATTTTTAGTACCAAGATATACATCTTAGAGGACAAACTAATACTACAGCTATAATATCGATGCTATAATATCGATTTTTAGAACTGTAAGTTCATTAAAATTCATTGAAAACAATAATATACGTTTATTAAGGTTGAAGCATGTGTATTTATGCCTAATTTAAAATATAAAAATATTGACTGTAGGAGAAAGAAAAAAATACAAATACCAGAAAACTTTAAAATATGGAATTATAAGAGAATTTTTAATTGCAAAATTACTGTATTTTCTGTCAGGAAAGTACCACTGACACTATACAAAAGACCATCCCCACTCTTTCGCACGGAAAGCAGATGGCATAGGTATCGAATGGAATATTCCATCGTCACTTTGAAGCGGAAACAACCAAAGAGCAAGAAAGAAGGGTAGATAGACAGCTAACAAGGAAAACAAGCTTGAAAAAGGAGAAAACTATATACAAAGGATAATACTTGTATTCATCAAAAAAAAATTTTAAAGTTATCGAGCAATTTTGATGACAATAATACACACACATGTGTATATGTATATCATTTCGTAGATTTATAAAAAAAAAACACGTAAATATATTAAAGGTATTCCCTCTTACATCACATTTTCCATTTTTTATTACATATACTATATACGAATGTCTATACGCAGTATGTACATCTTTGTATTACTACGATATATCATGATAAATGAAAGATATACAAGACATTTTACATACGTAAGTTGTATGCCAATTAAATTGTTACTCAATTCACGTGAAGCTTTATTTCACAAATTTTCTTTTTTCAAATAACAGCCACGATTTAATATCGACAAAACTGTTAGGAATAATCAAATCGTGACCATGTATAAATCTGTGCTTAATTTTTGTCGGTGTTAATTTTTTGTAGAAATTTACTTGGTAAAAAACGAGTCAGAACATCTCGAGATCAATATATGCAAATTTATTATCCATTTGATTGGACACTTTGTTAAAGTAGAATGGGACGTGATTGAAATCGTCTTGCTACGTACCGATTGTCGAAACCTGTGGTATCTCGTTCATCTTGAGAATGACACTGCTGCATGCAATTTGTTGATGATTCTGCTGCTGCGGCTGCTGTGGCTGCTGCTGTTGTTGCTGTGGCTGCTGCTGTGCTTGCATGATGACGACCACCATAAAAAAATGATGTGTGAACGATGCGAACGATGTAAGACGATGATCACGTGTCGACGCTCGTGCAGGAATTCCAATATCAAAATTGGAGATATCGTGGTGAACCGGGTCCAGAGAGAATTCCTTACTTTCCGAAGAATTGAAACAAAAAACAGGTACACGCGGCACTTACATCGGTATGTACTAGCGCGATCTTTCAACGTGCGCCATCATGGATTTCCAAGCAATTTACTTAACCAAGGATTTATGCACAACATGCAAATCACATGAAACGTAAATGATATATTTGTCAGTTACTTTGTCGTTAAAAGATGGTTTTCTTTTTTTTTTTTCTAAGAAGTTTTTATCGCGACAGTTGAGTTCTTCACGAACGACAGTCTGTCAGACTGCATACGTAATACGGTCCGACGCGAAAAACCAATCGATGAACGTATTCCGGGTTAGGGAAACTGATGCCGTTCTACGCGCGGGAAATACGTCATGTTCATACAAGTAAAAGTTATCTTTAACACCCACGACTATTGCAGTTACTTTTGATTGGTAGTACTATTAGATGTTATGAGAAAGATCTACCAGACATTACTAAATATCAATTAATCTACGCAAAAATTTTTAGAAAGTAGCAGGTTACATTAAGAAAGTAATTAATTTAAAAGTATAATTAAAAAGATACAATATTAGACAAGTTTCTTGATTTCATGTACATATTTTATCTTTGTACAACTATTGCAATATTTAGTTATATTATCGTTTTGAATTGCATGTTATTTCACAGATTATGATGCAGTTTGCAATAAAAGTTACAAATAATATGTTTATTTCACAAAAGGGTTAGAACAAAAATTAGGGGAGAATAAAGTATCGGGTAAAGATTAATGTTATCGTTTCTGATCGATCATGCACGAGCGCCACGTGGTAAGAGTTCGAGAATGATTTCCCCACCACGTTGAAAGAATTCGAATAACCGAAGGCCCAATCAGCTCTTTCGTTCTTGTTCTTACTCTTTTGGCGTTGAAGCCGGTGATGCATGGTTTTGTGCTCTGTATTAGTTTTACTTCGTTTATTTTGTAAATTAATAATGGCAGAAAATAAGGAACGCACCTTCATTATGATTAAACCCGATGGCGTCCAACGTGGACTCGTTGGGAAAATAATTCAACGTTTCGAAGACAAAGGTTTCAAACTTGTAGCAATGAAAATGTTGTGGGTAAGTGTCTACATATGTTTACGTGTCTAATTCAAAAAAATTCTAATTTTTAAGAATCTCGTAACTCGGCGTATGTTGTTTAAACATTTTCATTTTAAAAGCACTTATCGCATTTTATCGATCGTGGAATACATAGTAATTGCCGTGACCTTCGTTACCAAGCTCTGTGACATTATATTATCTTGTATCAAGATAATTAATAGAAATACTAATTTATGACTCTTGTACTTGCTTAATGTCCCATTAAGATGCGCAGTAATTTTCGTTATTAGTGTAGAAATTATATTATTGTCATTAAAGTTATTCTTTTTTTTTATAGCCAAGCGAAGATTTATTAAAGAAACATTATTCAGATTTGGCATCCAGACCGTTTTTCCCAGGTCTAATTAAATACATGAGTTCGGGACCAGTTGTACCAATGGTAATTGCCTTCTATATAATACAATTAAAAAATTTGATTTGTATATTACATCTTACAATTATTTACAAATGTTTTTCAGGTATGGGAAGGTTTAAATGCGGTGAAAACTGGCCGTGTTATGTTAGGAGAAACAAATCCAAAGGATTCAGCACCTGGAACAATTCGTGGTGATTTTTGTATTCAAGTTGGACGCAATATTATTCATGGCTCTGACTCTGTTGAATCTGCCAACAAGGAAGTCAAACTGTGGTTTGGAGAAGAGAAGGAAGTTATTGATTGGGCATCTTGGGCAGAGAAGTGGATATACGAATAAAATACACGAAATTTTCAATAAGGATATTTATTGTAATATCTATTCTTTTATATCTGGGTATAACATCAAGAATTTCTTGTACATAAGTTTGCTTGATAAGCAATAAACCAGATTCATATATACATCTATTTGATTGAATAATAAAAATTTCCAATACATTAATAGAAAAAGTGGTAAAGGTAATAATAATAATACAAACAATTTAAATTTTACTCTTTAATTTTCATAAAAATTTTAATGAAATGTATACGTGTACTTTATATTTTTTAGTAAACAGCATTATTGTGTTTGAACTTCATTCACATTCAGAATTATAAATTAAGTTCATTAATTGATTAACATATGTTTGAGCAAAGATTTACTCATCTATTAATTATACATATATAAAATATTGTTTACATTTTATAGAAAATCACAATAATATGTATTATAATACATATATATTATATAAGGAAATAGCTTTGATTAGCTATTTCCTTATGTACCTTAGTAGTTTCAGTACATTATTTACTTTCTCCCAAATACATTTTGCAATTACTGCAATAATGTTTTTTTGCCATGCAACTGTCCATGCAATAAGGACAGGGAACACAACACCAAAGTCTAGAAATAATTGTAAATATAATTAAATTTTCGTTCTTCCTCAAAATCAACAATGAATCACAAATTATATTTACCCGAAAATACATAGTAGTAATGCGAAAAGATGAGTTGTTGTATTTGCTCCAGTTTCAATTGTCGTGCGGCCATGCACCCGACAATGAGGACATATTACATGCTGCGGTTCTGAACCAAATTGCATAGGAGTTATCACAACAGTACCTGCAAAAGTATATTCTTAGGTAAGCTTTTTAATTGATATAAAAGCAATAATAATCATTAACATATAACATATATCAAGATTTGTAATAATGTAAAATATAGAAAATATTAATTAATGTTGGAAAAATTTTCTCGTGACAGAAGTTGTACAACTGTCTTTGATGTTGAATATTGAACAACTATTTATTCATAATCATGAGAATTCTATAAAATTTAATGAATTAATGTATTGCAATTTTATATAGAATAAAGTGGTAATATTTAGAAGCAATTATCGTATTAAAGAATAGATTTTAATATTATTTATGAAATGTTTCAAATAACATGTCTGTAGTATCATACATATATACTATCGGATTGATTGAATTTTTGCTCTAGATAGGCTTCGCTTTTGAAAGTTTTATTCTCTAGAATCATTTTCAGGAAATATATTATACACAAATATAATATAGAACATGAAAAACACTTTATCCTCATTTTGTGAGTCATTCAATAAATTGGACCTACCCATTTGGAAAACGGTTTACTTAGCTGACTCTCCAAGTTGTGAAGCAACATGGAGCGTCATTATCAAAAGTTGCTACATGGAGATAAAGCTGTTAACATATAGGAAGGCCCAAATTGTCATTTTGGTCAATACTACTAGTACCATTATTCCCATTTTTGGGTAGTAAATGCAGCGATGATACCTATCTCTAAATTTTAATCGTTAAATCACTTTATGCGTATTTGCACTTTCTTGGCTTCCAGACTACCTACAGGTACTAGCTAACATTTAAGGTCACTATAAGATCACGATCATTTTAGTACTTAAAGTTTTTTTATGTAACTTACTTGGTTCTCCGGATGGCTGATACGGCGGAGGTGGTGGATAGATGCCAGTTGGTGGTGGTGGTGGTGCTGGAACAAAACCAGGTGGTGGCGGTGGATGTGGTCCCATTTTTTCCATTATATCTCAATTCTTATCTGAAACATATTGTATCGATCATATAAGCCCATATTCTTTAATCTGTCATTTAACAAATTGATATGAATTGGCTGAAACTGATTCTTTAATAGAATATATTATATTTAACTTTAGTAACTTATATTTAACTTAGTACGAAACAATCAACTATCCCAGTGGTAGGTATAGTATAACAATGCTTATATAAACTCAGATGTTTGACAATGTTCAATATATATATATATATATATATATATATATATATATATATATATATATATATATATATATACTGATCATATTGAAGTCTGAGATAAAGAAATTTGATACAGTACAATGTGTTCGACAAATATGAAAAAATATAGTTTATGATACATTTTCTTATTAAAATTACTTCTAAGGTTCTCGTTCTAATGTTCTTTGCAGGATAATTTACATCGTACGAGTTTCACAGCATGTACATAAAAGGTATCGCAACTATAATCTAACGTGACGTTCCATAAATCAAATTTCAGATAGATAGAAGATTTGAACGCAAGTATACGACATGTTTCATTTTATTGCGTGTATGTTACATCAGAAAAAAAAATAAAAAGTTGAAATTTCGATCTAAAATCAATTATATCGAAGATGAAGATACTTGAATTACATATGATTTCTGGAAATTGTTTTATATAACTGCTATACAAATAACATTCAATGTAGTAGCGATAAAACAATTGACCTTGAAGATCAGTCTCTATATATGTATTCTCAATCGATGATATCAGTCAATTTCAAATGTAGTATCGAAGACTAATATTGTTGAATATTCTCTTTCAAATTTCATTAACATATATTATTTGGCGTCGAAATCTATTTTTGTTTGTGACAAAATTAATCTAACAGTATGCATCTATATTAATCTATTTCCGAGTACATAAATAAATACGCAGGTATTTACCTGTTGCAACTATGGAGATATATAATTTGTCGGCAATCGGTATACTGTTGAAATCAAACTAGCGGCTTCAGGTCTGCATAGTCGTTAAATTGTATATATACATGTACGTGCGTATCAGGCAACCAAAGTGGGAGGTTCTGCAGAAAATAGTAAGAAATATCTAATAATCTATCCTTTTTATCAGCATTCGTATATATACAATCTAGATAAGAATAGATTAGCAATTTTTATGAAATAAATTTCAATTCGGAAAATTATTTATTTTCAAGAAATTTTATAACTTTACTAGTTATGATAGTTAAAATAAATAAAGAATTTAGAGTTAAAATAAATAAAGAATTTAGAGTTAAAATAAATAAAGAATTTAGAGTTAAAATAAATAAAGAATTTAGAGTTAAAATAAATAAAGAATTTAGAGTTAAAATAAATAAAGAATTTAGAGTTAAAATAAATAAAGAATTTAGAGTTAAAATAAATAAAGAATTTAGAATTTTATTAAAAATTTAGAAGCTAAAATATTAAATTATTGATCTAAAATTGAAAAGAGAAAATAATAAGACTTCATGTTAAAAAAAAAAAATGTACAAGATGGCATATTTTTTTGGTTAATTCGGTAAATAAGCGAGTATTTTTTTCCATTTTTGTTTCTTATTTATTCAATATATAATCGTTTTTGGTTAACAAATAACTTCGTTCATTATTGGTAAAAATTTAATCATGATTTAAACCAATTAGAATCATTCATTTGTTAGTTGATGCAAAAATTTTAAGAATTTCCAAACAAACTGGCTATGAATATCATTATGAAGGTTGACTCATCCAATTCCGAATTGAATCGTGAATCATTCTCAGTGAATTTTATAACAGATATCTACCTCTTGATTTATCATAAAACTTCTACGATTTTTGCATTAACGTCAGATAGTTACTCTTACTTATTTCGTGAAATCATAAAAAACCTATTACTTGAAATTCATAAATAAAGTATAAAAAATATATACAAAATATGTGTTAACTTCTAACAAGCAAAATTTATAAAGGAACCCAGTAACAATTGCGGCTGAATTATTCGTGTAATAATTAAACGACGTTTTTAAAGGAATTTGTTACTACCCTGAATACAACGAGTTGTCACGATAATCGATTATTAATAATACATTATCAAATGCATTCGTAGATTATCGATTTTAATTTAATTCATTCAAATATATCTATCACATATACGTTACGTTACACGATATCCCTGTAAAACAAACTCGTTATTCGAGTTGACATTGTTTGGTTTAGATGTATACGTACACTATTGTATACAAAAAACCATATTTAATTTCACAAGTGGTACTTTAAAATTAGCATTGAATGCTAAAACGAGTTGAAGATTTTTAACATTTGTAATTCTACAAACTAACAAATCAAATACGACCGATCGATTCGGATATTCGCATACATATATGTATGTGTGTGTGTATATATATATATATGTTCTTTGACTAGCAGAACAACAATCATCCCAACAATAACAAAGACGATAAAACGCGATATAAATAATAACAATATTTCATTTAGAATCCAAACTGGAAAACAGGACATTTCTACAAAATTTCACATCGAACTCTAATAATTTAACAGAGCTTCTCTTCTTAAAGCTTCTCTTCTTAATCGTGCGTAATTCAGTTTAATTCGATCGATCGTTCGCAATAATAATGGTGAAAATTTCAATTCCTACTTAGTATCGGGAATATTAAGAACCGACACTTTAGCCAAGATACATTAGATACGAGAAAGTAAGTGAACTACTAAGTGAAACGGTCGTAACGATCACTTGCGAGGATAAGTTTTCTATACCGACGTACGTCATTGGAAATCTATAGTCTTTAATTCGATGTTATTACTAGGAAGAAATCTAGGATTACATCGCATCGTATCGATCATGTTGGCAGTATCGAGTTGTTTTTTCGACCGCGAACGGACTCGTTTTGGAATGTTTTACCGATCAAGCGAGTAATTTTCGACGGATCAACGACGCGGCAGCAGAAAAAGGGCGGGAGCACTAAAAATTTCACGACGCGTTTCGAGCGTGAAACAACGCGGTTTCTTTCTCTCATGATTCTCAAGTCTTGGGCTTTTCACGAGGAGCGGTCAGGCGTGGACTTGGTCTTTGGCTTCCGTCCAAGTAACTTGCGAAAAGAGGAGGTCCATCTCGACCGACTGAACCCCGTGGTACTTTGCTCGTCCGGCTCGCTGCAGCTAAGCGACTCGCTGATCTTCCTGCTTTTGCCGCTGCTGCTGCTGGTGCTACTACCCCCATTTTCGTAACATCGTGATCGTCGATCTCCAATTTCCGAAGAAAACCTGAACGACGTGAAAATCGATTAAGAACGTTGTTGTCGCGCTGTTATACTCAAATTAGATGCCAAGACGAACCCTGAATCGGATGAAAAGGCTCTCGCGGTAGCTGGCGCGCTCGAGTTGGCCGATGAAAGCGATATCTCCGCAACAGGAGTACTCGGATATGCCTCGTCGTCAGACGCACTGTTACTACTGGTGGTGCTGCTGTTGCTACCGTTGCTTCCACCGGCACTGCTGTCCACGCTGGAGTCGTCGATGAAACTTATCTCTTGATCGGCCAACGGTGAGCTGGTCCTCTGTCTGCGCGATGTCGGTGTCGCAGACGTTGCGCTAGGTCGCAACCAGGTACGCAGATCTTGCAGCGGCGCTTGAAGGCACTTGAAAAGATTTCCACTGAAACATTTGTGACAACGGTGAGCAAAGCCTTTTCTTTTTTCTCTCGAAGATCCATCAATATATACGTTCTCTAAATTTTTGTTTTACTATAATATAGATATACTCTATTACCGAACTGTGACCTAACTAGGTTGGGATTGATTGCTAAACTGTCAGACTCTCAACGTGACCGTGGATTTATGTGCTGATCCGTGCTTTAGAATACATCATTCACAAAGTTGATTATTAAAGTTTTTTCATTTTTATATTATTATTATTATGGTAAACTTGTTCAACTGAATTCTCACCAACAATATCAAATCTTCTCTATTCAATTGATAATGATTTATACACATTTTGTTAATGAGAAACGAAATTTACATTTTGGTCAATGGATATACGTTTCGCGCAAATATCGAGCCGTATGTATTGATGGTTTCGTGCGAGAGTGTGCCGCAGTCGGAAGGTCCAACCATCCGGCCGCTGGGCCCACACTCTTACACAAAGTGTGACACGCGTTTCTCTCATGCTTGACTCGTGCTGTCTCGTGCTTACTCGTCGCGATAATCGTCAATCTCGGCAAACGTGCGTCTGGCGTACAAACATACGGAACACCGTCGTCGACGGCGGCAAGATGTAGCGTGTAGAGTCGCTGCACGAAGGTGTCTAGCAGCGTGTCTCAACGTAATCGTTTCTCGAGTCAGTGCAGCAACACCCTCCTCCCGTCTACGCCTCTCTTCGCCCAATTCTCCTTGTTCTATACGCAGCTTCTCTTTTAAAACTTCATTCTAGGGAAGAGAGAATACGGACAACAGTGAGATATTTTAATTACTATAGAGGATCGTAACGTCGAGACAGAACTCGAGCTTGGCTAAATACTTGGTCATATAATTATCATCATCACCTCTCTTTCAAGAGCATCGCGTTCGGCACGGATAACAGTGGCCTGCCTGACAACGTCCTGACGTGCTCGTTCGAGAGTCTGCCTGGTGATCTCGTTTTGCGCCAGTTGCATCTGCAGACGGCGCAACGCTACCTCGCGTTGCCTCTCCAGCCGATCCCTCGCAGCCAGGCAACCGTCGCGCTCCGTTTTCGCTCTTTCCATCTCTTCCTCCAAGCGAAGGCTCCGCTCCAGCTGCAGGAACAGCTCATCCTCCTTGCCACGCAGTTCTGCCTCGCAACCCTCCAGCCGCTTTTCCAACGACCGCCGGGTCTCCTCCAGCTTGTCCCTTTCAGCCTGAAACAATCGGACCAATTTTTACTACTTTTATTACTTTTAATATATTTTTTTATTATTTTTACTATATTTAATATTTACTATTTTTATTATTTTACTATTTTTAATATATTACCAATTTTTACTATTTTTACTATTTTTAATATTTACTACTATATTTAATATTTGCCAATTTTTACTATTTTTACTATTTTTAATATTTACTACTACTATATTTAATATTTGCCAATTTTTACTATTTTTACTATTTTTAATATTTATCTATTTTTACTATTTTTAATATTTATTACTACTATATTTAATATTTATCAATTTTGACTATTTTTACTATTTTTACTATTTTTAATATTTACCAACTTTTACTATTTTTACTATTTTTAATATTTACCAATTTTTACTATTTTTACTATTTTTAATATTTACTATTACTATATTTAATATTTATCAATTTTTATTATTTTTACTATTTTTAATATTTACTACTACTATATTTATTATTATTTTATTTTATTTATATTTTTATTATTTTTACGACCCTGTTTCTCTCTTCCTGCTCTTTTGCAAGTTAGCGATATTAACACTACAACTACCAAAGTGATCAAAATGACTAATTCATAATTTTTGTCATACTATTTTCTAAATATTATTAATATTTGTCACATTAATTTTCACATTATAGATGCGAAACAGTGTATTTCTAGAGATATAAATAATTCTCTTATGAAATAAAATGACAAATAAAAGCTTGTGTATTCTATTTTATTCATTTTCTTTTCACTTTAATAAAAATTCTCTGATGAAAGTTTCATGCTTTTTAGTCCAGTGTTAAAATCGATTCGCTTTTGATCGACGAGTCACATCATATCCTCATATCCTTCATTTTCTGCTTTTAGATTTTTAAATTGTCGTGCGACACCAGGCATTGTCAAACCAGAATAATTCGAACGAAAGTATCACAATTGTCAACTGATAACCCGAGAACGAGTCCACAGGGATCGTTAACGAAGATAATAGGCCCAATTAAAAAAGAGAATGGAACAGAATGCTTCGAGCACTGCATCTGATTTCATGGCCATCGCTTCCCGATGCATTGGCTGCGTCTGTGGACCGCATGCAAACGAATCAATTATTTGTACCTATAGTCAGTGAAACACATTCGGAAGAATGTTCGTATTCATACAGGCAATTATCTCCAAAATTATTCGTTTCAATTTACTTTGTTTCGAGGAGGACATCTTGCAGTGAGCCGCAAATCTTCGTTCGTGGTGGACCGTGCTTCCGAGGTTTCCAAGGTGACTTCTGTTTTTTTTTTTTCTTTTCTTTAACTCTCTGCCCTCGAAAACATTTTTTGCATCATCTACTAGCGATTTATTTACGAAAACGGCGAGCGAAGTGTCACTTCGAATAAAATGACATAAGATTGGAAATAATCGTCCTGTTTAAATGTTTCAGATTTAGCATGGAATTTTGTCGATTGTGCTTCTTTAATACGCAACTTCGTCTTAAGTAATCATCGAGTATAGTTAATGACATAGAATTTTAATCTTTTGGAAAATTTTCCTATTTTATAAACTTTCGTTGGCCTCTTGCGCTGGAATGACGCGCCACGTACGTCGAAAATAGTTGGCCCAAAATTGCAGTATTTTCTCAGTTTTAAGTATATTGAAATATAACCCAGGCAAAGCAAATAATATGTATAATTTATTACTTCTTATAGTAATTTCTACCCAGTGATATACCGATGAATTCAAAAAGAAGACGAATTATTGTATACGGTTTGGTCACTCGTTATGGTCCGCAATCAGTTGGTGGTTAATCTCTTGCGCTGGAATAACGTGCCACGCACGTTGAGAATATTTGGCCTAAAATTGCAATATTTTCTCAGTTTTAAGTATATTGAAATATAACCCAGGCAAGGCAAATAATAAATTTATTACTTCTTATAGTAATTTCTATCCAGTGATATACCGATGAATTTAAAAAGAAAGACGAATTATTGTGTACGGTTTGGTCACTCGTTATGGTCCGCGAACCAGTTACTAGCGCAAGAGGTTAAGAAGCAACAAGTTTAGTTTATGCGAGTTATCCCGAATTGTTCGAATAATAATAATAATTCGATGACAATGAGTATCAACTGACACAGTTGCCTCTTTCCATTATTTATTATGATTGTTTATCATTTTAAAATTTTATTATCCTCTTATGTCGTTATATTATATCATAGAACATCGTATATACATTAATTATAATCAGTAATTATAAAAAAATTTTATAATTTTAGCTGTACAAGTATCATGTCTCCTCATTAGAGTCACAGTCGAGTGCAGAGTCAAATAAAACTATTTTCCTCCAAATAGACGTGTAACCCGAATAGATGTTTCATGACGAATCTATCGAGACTTATCATACGTTGGTATTTCAAAGTTATTCGAGGTCGTACACCATCTTTTAAAAGTTACCTGCGTACCGAGAAATTATTTTTCATATTCGAAATGGCGAATAATCTGATCTATTTCTAAAAGATAGTTGCTGCACCTTTTCCAGTGTTTCAGAGTATTTTGTACACGATAGGTCGTTGTATTCGTCACATATACAGGCTACAAGAAAAATACGTGGTTTCATTTGAAGAAAAAAAAAAGGTCACTTTGAATTCTCGAAAGCTAACCTAAACCTAACCTACCCTCGAAAAATATCCTCGAAACAAAGTAAATTGCACTTGAAACATTTTCCTCCACAACGAATAGAAACAATTGCATGGAAAGTTTCAAATGGGACACCCTTTATATACAAGAGGCAAAAGGTCAAAGGTGAATGAGACTGGTAAGCTGAGAAAACTTTTTTGTTAGCGTTGCGTTGTGGCGTAACGTTGGCAAATCTGTACATAATATGGAGTCGCTTATTTTGAAAGTCACTTTCTCAAAAAGATCAAGTTAGCGATTAGATTAATCACAATTCCACGTGACTCTTTTTTAAAGCAAACAGAATAGCCAATATTAAAATTGAAAGCAACTGACTGTGAGATTTTCTTGATATATGTTAGGTAATCATCAACAAATTCCTGGCGGGATATTTGAAACGAGAGTTGCGTGCAAGAAATATTATTTGTCAGAACTTTATAAATAATTGTAATTTTATTAATTTAACACTGTAACAATCGAACCCGTCAATATGACAATATCAGTCATTCAGTTTTTTTACAACTGCTTCAAAGGCTATGAATTTTCTTGTCAAAATTAATATTAATTTTCGTTTGGATAGAAACGTAATTGTATAAATTGTATAATTCATTTCGAACTACAATGATTTACATGCAGAATATTTTAATACAATTGTTCTAGTATTAACAGATATTTTCATTTATTAATATTTCATTATCGTCTACATTAATATGAATATTTCATTATTATTTACATTAATATCTCGGGCAACAGAAGTCAAGCACATGTACAGAGTGAATGGAAAAAAGGATTCATAACTTCAGGGTAGATAGTACTCGCCGACACATGAAAGAAAGCCCTTGTAAACATGGGTCGAAAAATTAATAGTTTCACAGTTATAAACTGTGACTTTTTTTGTTTATAATATGTGAAGTGTTAGACATCTCTAAAGCAATCTTTTTTCGCTATATTTGATGTCAGAAGTAAGAAATATTTTCCAGCCATGACTCCAAAGATCTCCAGAAAAGACAAGCTGAATAGAAGATTTATATCGTTGGAAGAAAAATTAGAAATTCTTAATCGATTGAAATCTGGTGATAAGTTAACATCTCTTTGCAAGAAATTTAACAGAAATGAATCGACAATTAGGAAAAATGAAAGTAAAATAAGAGCTAGACAACGTCATCAAGTTTCAAGAAATCCGCCCGTACAAAAGATCTTTTATTAACAAAAACAGAAAATTGTTTAATTATATGATTGGTTCAACATTCCATGATCATATGATAGATATGATTTCTTTGAATACTTATTTAATAAGACACACAAGATATTTTTTTTGTCATATTAAAAGAAGACTTTATTTATTTAGTTATAGTTTTTTGCGCTCTTGGATAACGTGGAACATTTATCTCGTGTTATAGGAGATCCTACTGTGTGTCTCTTTCAAAAATTCATATATGTTTACAAGGTAGCCACTGAAAAACTGAAGAGTTTGAAAAAGTCATAGCTTGTTCATCTTCAATCTTCTTTATTTTCTTCTTAATTATATTTCCAAATAGAATAATAAAAAATTAAAAAAGACTGTAAAAGTTACTTTTGTTATATATCATTCAGTCTCTCAGTGACCACCCTAACAGAAAAAAATCTATTATATTTCCAAATAAAATAATAAAAAATTTAAAAAAACCTGTAGAAGTTACTTTTGTTTTATATCACTCAGTCTTTCAGTGACCACTCTCATAGAAAAAAAATCAATTATATTTCCAAATAAAATAATAAAAAATTAAAAAAAAACTGTAAAAGTTATTTTTGTTTTATATCGTTCAGTCTCTCAGTGACCATCCTTATAGAAAAAAAATCTAGTAATTATATTTCCAAATAAAATAATAAAAAATTTAAAAAAACCTGTAGAAGTTACTTTTGTGTTGTAGCATTCAGTCTTTCAGTGACCGCTCTGTATATACGTTCGATTCGCCGACAAATGGTTCGGTCGATTGTGTAAGGCCGATTATTGATCGCAAATCGTTTCGTACAGGAACGAACAGTGCCCGGTCATTGAAAAGATCCGACATTGAGAGTTGTCGAGCGAGAGGATCGGCCGCTCCTCCCTTCAACTAGAATCGCGTCTGACGTCGCGTCGGATTGTAGGTCAGCCACGCTGCGGGCGAGCACTCGACTCTCGATGGTTAAGATATACGAGGTTGATGAACGTGTTGCGAATCAGAACAGCTCGGAGAGCACACGCCTGTTTCTCCGCTGTCCCGGAGAAACTAGACGCCAGATAATAACGCAGAGGCCAAGAAAACCGAAAGAAAGACAAAACGAAGGAACAACAGAGGGGGGCGGGATGATGATCGAGGTGAGTCGAAGAAACAAGACCGCAGAAGGAAAAAAAGCGGAGAAACGAAACGTAAAAAACCGTTTCTTCGCCGAGAGGGGAGAGAGCTCGGGCGTCGCCTCTGCGGTTTGGCCACCGCTGTAAATCCACACGTACGACGACCGCGGTAAATCCTGCGGCAACAAATGGATAAGCAGACATACAAGTGGCCGCGCGTTCCATTGGGAAGGCCAAGGGGAAACCAATGCTCTCACGAGCAAGGAAAATCCTCGACGCGACGCGACGCGACGCGACACACCGACACACCGACACACCGACGCTCTTTGCCGGATCTCTTTCCCTGCAAAGGCTTCGGCAGAAAATGCTTCCCTCTAGCGCCCTTCAACCTTTCGTTCGTGCCTCGGCTTCTCCATTCGATCTAATCCGCGAAACCGAGTATCCAAAGTGATCCAAGTGACTGATGAAGCGGTCGAGTTATACAGGCTGGATTACTGAAACACTGAGGGCTTTGAAAAAGTCATAACTTTGTTGGATGACCCGGACAATATTGAATCTATGCAAACACTGACAATAAGCTAGCAACAGTCCACATAAAAGTGGACTGTGAATAGTTAGTCATAAAGGCAAGATTCAATAGTTGGTCATCTATGATTCTTCCACTTCCACTTGACGATGATAACCAAATATATATGAGGACATACTTTAGAGACATTCTCACTCGTAAAACATTCTAAATCATTATAGAGACATTCTATATCGTTAAGAGCATTAGACATTCATCATATTCTAAGGCATTCTAAATCATTGTATATCATCCTATTTCATACACGACCACGACTGTAAGGGAATAAACTCTTCTTGTAAGCGTGTTGACTCCATTACACGGAATCCAACAGTGGATCGAATAACAAACACACTGACTATTGATAGACTTAATATAAATTATGAAACACATATTATGTTCAATTCTCATCGATTCACTCTCTATCTCGTCTCTCATGCTTTGAGTCTGGGGATCTTCTCAATTACAACTGTTTCTCGTCACCATGCTCTCGCGCACATCTTTCTCATTCGTTCTTTCTTTAGCCGTGAAATATATCAAACACTCAGATCACACCACACCACAATTATATGCACACTCTCGCCACACTCATCCTTCCATGCAAACATTCATGTACATTCGTTCCCCAATATATAACTATCTACCACACAGTCTTCCTCCATTCGGCGTTTCATCTGGCAGGTTTCTCTTTTGAAATTCTTCTGTATCTGTACACAGGCCACGAGATATCTCTCTCTAAACGAAGCACAAACGAAACTAGCGACAAACGAGCGAATCTTAAAAATATCTGCACACACACGGGAGAGCGAGTGACTCCACCCTCGTTTGCCGAAATAATTAACAGAAAAAGGGGCGCAGACTCAAGGGTGTGCCCCGAGTATTAACGGGACGCGAGCATTAGGGTTATCTGATCGGCAGATCTCCGGGAAAGGAGACAAGAAAAAGAGAGAGAGAAGAGAGAAGAGAGGAGATACGGAGAGAAAGGGTAGTTTCCCCGGTTGAGGGAGGAGGGCAGGCGAAGAGCCTTCTTTCCTTTACCTGAATATCATAG